TAAGAGACGAGATGATCTTCATGATCTCCATGATATTCAGTCATGGAGGCTGAAGATCAAATCTTGTCAATCACGGATGAATTTTACGTATGCGCTAGTTTTATGACTCGGTGGTTCAGAACCCTTAATCTGTATTGCTCCCTCTCTAGAAAAAAGTATGTCTTTCGTTGCACTGAAAACTTCCTAAACTAGAAGCCTGCTAAAAAATGTACAATAGGAATATATCTTGATTAGTTGCTATAAAATTATATACTATGTAGAAGCTATTTGAGTCAACAGTGTTATTGTACATGACAGTAACCTATTTACGACTAAACAGTTCAAAACGGTACTTTTATCATTGATAATTTTGTACCGTGAAAAGTTTTAAATATGGAATACTAATTACTCAGACCTAGTTTTAGTTCTCTCATAGATTTGGAGAAACATAGAAAAACCAACCAACCTTGAGTTTCCTTGACTGCTGTCCCAACAATACCTATTTCAGTGGACGGTTTCGCCACAGACTACTTCTTCCCGATCACCGTAATCATCGAATCCAATTAACGATCGAGATATCGATATAGCCTATCGCCACTCTTGTTTGAAAGTCCCCGTAGTCACGTTCTGGGAGTATTGTTTCCTGTAAATGACCTCGAGTAAGGATTTGGGTCACCTTAGGACACTTCGTGGTTAGACCATGTCTCCTGTTGTTCCTGGAGGACATATTACACGTCAGTGGGTTTTGGGAGGTCATATTATACTAAGTGTTGAGAAAGATTATCGTCGTATTGTAATGTATTACCTGAAACTATAGACCCATCGTATGATAGCCGAATGAATGTCCTTGTAAAACTGTATTTGGAAGATCTTAGTTCAACTAAGCTGTCGCATAAAACTGAAAGGGCATTTTGTTAAATGTAGCAGATTTACCCGTCGTCGCCGACGGGGAGCATTCTGGTCTAATATAGAGTGCATGGCATGGTCCAAAGCTAATGTGAACTCTAACCCTAGTTAACCAGGTTAACCTCAACCCTAGTTTATAAAACGTCCGGGCTTAAAGCTTATCACCATAAATAGTTCTCTACCAACTAGCATTATAACAATAACTCATAATAGCCTCTTAGCTCATCGAGAGGCAAGTATACAAGTATATGATTCACTTCGAGTAGAAACAGTTGGTAGTTGGTCCATAGATGATATGTTTACTTTAGTATACCAGTAATTAAAAAAGTGTTTATGGTTTCAATTGAGGGAGATACTAGGTGTAGATACTACCTTGTAAAAAGTAAATAGATTTATGTTTCATCAAAAGGTCTAGTTTAAGCTGTACGCCCGTTTATAGTTTAACGATATAAAAACTAAAACGATCTGTTGATTTGATTTCTCAATTAATATTTCTTAAAGCGTGTTCCATTATCAATCGATTTTGATCTCAGGACACTCTATACTTGAAACTAGCAAAAAGTGCAACAATTTTACATAAATATCGAGTTTACCTAGAAGTTTCATTAATTGTTGGCCATTTATATTTTATTTAAGTAAGTACTTTAGGTTCCTTACGTTAGTACTACATACTTTAACAATTATATAATTGAAATCCAAATGTGCATCTCTATGACTAAACTACACACTGCATTCAAATTTTACAGAAATCAAATATTGCCATACAGTAAAATCGTCAAATTAGAAAATATTGCATTGTTCAGGCATAATATTAATAATTATCAAAAACATAATGTTTTCAATTACATTTTCCTTTATGCCAATATTTGTAAATCACTTAACCAAGCCACTGCAACCTTTAGCCCGTTGTATATAACACATCTAGGCTCTACTGACCTCGGCACTAAATTCGGTCATTAATTTCTTCATCTTCCTCTTTTTAACAGGCTGCAGCGTTTCAAAACTGTAGACATTACGTGCTTAGGATGCGCTCTGACGTAGCAGCTGGTACTATAACTCTACGTCAAGACTAGATGTTACTTTTTTATTTGAACGGACAAAGCTACTGTATTTCTCATGCTGTGTGTCCTCCATTTGGCAAACTATCCAGAGTTCTACAGTACATTTAGTTAGTTTCAAGTATTGTTTGATAGAATACATTCGAAACAGCTTTAAGTTAATACTTTCATTGTCATCGTAAAACATAACCATAGGTCACATGTAATTTGAGTTACTATTGAACACTAAATACAGCATAACAATTACTACTTTAACAGATATCGTCCCGTTTTAATTGGCAATGTTTGATAAGAAGCAGTATGTTTATGTATACATAATTTACCAAAGTTGCAATTCAATGTTTTATCTTAAATCTCAGGCATACATATTTTAAACCAGCCGCGATTACCCAGTAATTCAGCAAGCTTCCGGATTAATTTAATCAGACCCACTTGCAATGCAGCGCAGGTAGCTTCTCATGAAATATAACTCGTATTCATAGAACTAGCTATTTTCGTATTTCATACGAGTTTAAAATTCGCTTGTAAGGAAATGTTTCATCCTTTAATTAAATTATTCAAAAATGTTCGACCTAAATTTGTAGAGGAAGAATAATGAAAGAAACTCGAACTACGATTTCTATGTAGCCACTTAATTCTTCATTTAAAATAATTATTAATTGGATAATCAATGACTCCGTTTAGTGCCTAGGTGAATTACAATTCCATGGTAGCGATTACGTAGGTTCGAATCCCGCTATCCCCTCTAAAATCTATTAGTACAGTTCTTACTCTGCAATGTAAACCCTTTCTTTGCTTGACAGTTTCCATGTTCATGTCCATGGTATATTGCGCATAGTATATCTCTGGATGAAATAGATGGCTGAAATAAGTCACCAACCTATTTTATAAAAACAAAAAAAAACATGTCTTTAAGAGTTACATCAAGCATTTGCAAGAATTTTTACCCCAATATTTTTGTCATTGTTGACTTTGACAAATTTAGATTTTTAAAACTATGTAGGAATGATAATTGAGAAATTGTAAATCAACACCTTTTTTGCAAATATTAAATATATCAAAAATGAACATTAAAGTATATTTTATTTTAATCGTGCTACATAGTTTACTTTTACGTACAATTAACATTTATCTCTACATTTTGATAAAAAATTTACCAACAAAAAATATAGCCTAGCTAACGTTTTGTTAAATATGTGATACACTTACAAGCCAGAGAACATTAACTTCGAGTTGTGCCAGTAGAGGCGGCGGGATTTGCAAAAAAATATTCAAAGATAGCAATTTCTAAAATGTTTATGGCAACTAAGCCTATAAGTTAATAAATCTAAAAACTCTTTAAGTACTGGACAAATTCGTTGAAATAATATAATAAGTTATCTCTTCCAAATTACGTTGTTGTTTTAGAAAAAGATTAAGGATTTCTCAAGAAGCCAATACATTTACTGTACGAGATATGTTAGACATAATAGAGTGATTTTGTTAACCATATTAAATGTTGTGTTTTAATTATCAATCGTGTTTAGTATAACAAAGTAATCTACATCACACTGTAATTGTAAATACTCCTTGCCTGCTCATGTAATTACATAAATCTATCAATTTGTACTTTTGTACCTCACAACTATATCTTTGAAGTTTGATAAGCTTGGTCTCTAAAGTGACTGCGTTACACCATTGATAAGGGGGTTTAATTTCAACATTCTCATTTTCCAGCAACGTGAGAGTCCTTATCGTAGTTGTCACCTTTGTGTCCTCAACGAACACTAAAAGGTTAAACCTTCTAACTGTACATTGAGTTTGATAACTGTCCCAACACTGGATAGTAGCATTTAGATTAGTATTCCATCAGATGTAACATAGCGTTTGCCTTTAATACTATGGACGGTAGTAGCCTTGTGCCAAACATTTAATAGGTAATGATTCGACTTGCGTAAAGAAGCTAAGACAAGTAATTATCTCCTTGATGCAATTAAAATTTATTTAATTGTGAAGCGTGTACTATAATTGATAGTAACGGTTCTGGACTCATAAGGATCGTTAAGACTCATTATAATCAATTTACAGCTGCGTGTGACATTCTGAGGTGAATATTAATAAACTTAAATTAATAACTGAGCCAAACCACATCCATATCACAGCCATTATGATTATCTAATACTTCTAATACATCTGATTATATAATAAAGCTAAGAACAAGTAAAACTTCCACTCGCACCTTAAGGGTACGAGTGTGCTAAAAAGTGGAATTTACATACTAAGCCGATATAGTTAATAGTTCCCTAAACCCCTTAATCCCCCCCTCTTTTATGAAAAACTTATGAAAACTTCTGAGAACATATCTATAACTGTTTAAAAATCATATCATAAATGGCGTAGCTGTTTCTTTGTTTCTATGCACAATTTAAAAACCATATAGTGTTCAATTACTAATGCCATTCAATTCAATTTTAATTGGGAGTAAAGTTACGCGATTTTCCCATATTTAAACAGTTTTACAAATGCTCAAAGTTTACTCCCAGAAATCATTATAGGAACTGTATTAATTTTGGACCCTTAACACGTTATGTACAATTATTTTAGATTATTGTGGGTGTATAAACAAGTACGGTTTAATTAGTATAAAAATATATTTTTAATCACTTCGTTTAATATTTAAGGTACATATTATATAAAGCTATGATGTGGAATAAATGTATACTTTCTTTTCGTCATTTTTCTTTCTATTAATCGTGCTTGCCACAATATACATCTTCTGATATTTCTTCTGAGCTATTATTAATTTTAGTCCCTAAGTAAAACAAGTGACTAAAATGTAAACTCCAATTAATTCAAATTGCGCGTTTACACATTTTACCACCTTATTTGAAATAAGTGCCTTAAATAGATTTAATATACCTTTTTAACTCCAACATTTTCAAGTACAAAAAAAGGAGCACTAAAATCAACTGCTGTAAAGTAATCCTTAAAAGCTCCAGGAAAGGCTTAATCTCTTCAGAGTGATGACCTCATCAAATCACCGGTCTGATTAGGGGGTGATTTCGGCGGGACGGCAGGATGGTCAGGAGCCGTGTCCTTGGCATTCGCAGGACCAGGACGAGGATGACATTTATCGTCCAGGCAGGAGAGGGGAGGTCCTGCTGCTCTAGTATAAAGCTCCAGAAGGACCTCAAGTCGTCACTCCTGAGTCCCACATCAGACATCATGGCTTCCTCTCTATACAAGCTCCTGGTAAGTCATGCTACAACTTATTTTGTAACTTCAGAAAAACTTCATAAAAACTTAAAACAATTTTCAAAAACCATACAATACAACAAATTTTTTGTATTTGTAAGGATTTTTTCTATGTTTTCATAGTTTCTTGGCTTTTAGGCATCTAAGTATAGTATACCTTGTTCTGTTTTAATCATAGCTTAGACTTAGACAGCACTAGAATATAAAACATTTTTTTCTTAGATATGTTAATCCGAAACTAATAAAACATAATTATCGTATTCATTGACAAATACAACACGAATCAAACTTATTCAGCAAAATAAATGCTTATTAAGAGTTTGTTTCATATTAAGGCACATATGAGGCAATCTCTGGATTATATACACCTTATTTTACATACTTTTCCCCTAAATAGACTTATGAGGAAATATTAATCAATAGTTATACTAAAATGTTCTATTTCTTCACCACGGTATAGATACAGACTACAGTTGTTAAAGTGTATTGTTGTACTTTGTTGCTACTTACTACAAACAAATAATTTGCAATTTAATTGTCTATAAAAAAATCTGTTAACTTTATAGAAGGTTGTTTTATAAATGAAACAGATTGTTTAACATTTTTCTTTTAGAAGTCACAATAATTTATTTTAATCTATAACGGTCATTAAAAATTCTAAAACCTACCTTAGTGCCTAAAAAAGTAATTATTAGTTATGCGTTGTCATTATACGATTTCTTTAAAATTCTTGTTCATCTAAATTTAAAAAAAATAACATAACATCACACAATATCTTTCAGTTTTTAGCTTTATGGTAGCTGTTATTTTTTTATGTATTGTATTCGTAGAAATGGCAGTAATAAGTGAGATTCTCTTGATCTCAAGAATGTAATGTTTCAAGATATTTGTTGATCTCCAAATTTGTTTTTTAAGGATATTAAAGAAGGATTGTGTCTAATCAAAACTGTTAAAAACATTCTCGTTCATCCACATTTTCTCTCAAATTGTAATTAATTCAAATAATTAAAAATTATAAATAGTAGCAATGCTGTTGAATATGTATGAGAAAGATGGTATTTGTTATTTTGTTATTCTTTTCAAAACGATTTACGTAACATTCATAAATAATTACTGAAAATGTTTTATCCTACTTAATCATTGAACTTAATCATCGACACATACTAAACAACCAAGCTTGTATTAACAATACAATCATAAAATTACTTGTAATTACGCAATATTAATTTCAAAGTGATGTTATTTAAATTTGATACTGCAAATCAATAGGGATGTTATGTGCTGTAACCATTATAACAAGCACTTAATTTTATATCCCTAAACTCATAACCCATAATGCTCTTTTTACTGTTTTAACGTTACACTCTACATGAATTTTCATTATTTGAACAATTGACGCTTATCAAATTGCTACAATGTTGCTAGTTTTAGGTTCACATTCAATCAACATAGATAACATGGCATCTGATGCATTAATGATTAGTTGAATGGACATGAAAATAAACGTGGTGTCTTTTTGTGAAGACCATTGAGTTGAGTTCATGTATGTTATAATCATACTATTTCGTTTTAGGGTTGCTCTACAATATGCCTTCGGTGTACGGGTTTATATAAATTCGTTTATCTAAATCGTATTTCAAATAAAACTTATTATTTGAAGGGGATGAAGTAATTTGGAACCATTTAATGAATAAAATATTACAGTAAGAGGAGTTTATTGACAAAATAATATTGCTTGAGAATCCCTGCAGGCATTGTGTTTAGCATTTGAGAACTTTTTATAAATACAAACAAATAAACGAATTAAGTACGAATAAACGAATCAATAAAATATAATCACTAAATTATAAAGTATTAAAATTCCTACATAAAACAAAAACCCTTTAAAAAATTAAAATTAAACTATTTTAGTAACAAAACATTCTATCCATCATCTCTCAACGAAATACTTTTCCAGCTTGATAAATACATTTTTGCATGCACCAATTACAAAATGACTATCAACAGAGTTAAGTAAACATTTTTTTTCATTTCCAGTTTTGACTTCAATCTTGGAAAAACCTATCAAACCAACGAATGTTAAAATAGCTTATAACAGCTTTGTTATATTTCAAATGGTCAATATGCCCTTTTCAAACTACCTCTTTTCATTGTAGAACTAAATTACTACACCAGTTAAATGCCAGTTGTCAACATTGGCTATTGTTTCTGGATGTTGTCTCACTAGAGTCTTTGTCATCTGTTGTTTACTCTGTGTTCTCTGTGCATTTGACTCACCTTACTCTATGTTCAGGTCGTGCTGGCGGTCGTTGCCGCCGTCCTTTGCGAGGAGGCTAAGGACCAAAAGTCCGAGAGACCCAAGAAGGACACTGAGAAGTCTACTCTCGCTACAGCCGAGACTGGATACGGTAAATATACTTAACCACACGTATAATAAACTAGCATTATACCGTACGTATAGTATTCATACGTTACATGTATTACCTATTATCGATACAAAATGCCGATTACTACACGATAACCTTTACTGCACTACTGGATATTGCAGACAGACTTATCGAACTAACTATTTTTTACTAAGATTATTTTCATTTCTCTCATGCGCGGACAAGTTTGAGGGCTCTGCTATGTTGACAAAACGTGTATCATTGAGGGTTAATTTAACAGTGTCCGCTTGACTGTAATAACTAAGAAGCAGATTTAATATATATCTTTCGTCAATCGTACTTGTGAGGATCCGGACCTAGTAAAACAACAAGATCTTTTTAATTTACAGTGTTATATTTTAGTTAGAAAGTGTTACTGCTGTTGTTTTGGAATACTTTTTGGTTGACTAACTTTATTTTACCTTACAGCTGGCTACCCTTACGGAGGAGGCTACGGTTCCTATGGAGCTGGATACCCTGGATACACAGGATACTCTGGATACGGTAACACTGCCTACGCTGGATACCCAGGCTACACCGGATACTCTGGATACTCTGGATACAAGGGAGCCTACCCCTCTGCTGGATACACTGGAGCAGGATACACCGGGGCTTACCCTTACACCGCCGGATACACCGGATACAACAGTGGATACACCGGATACAACAGTGCCTACCCTTACACTGCTGGATACACCGGATCTAAGGCAGCCTACCCCTACTCCGCAGGATACACCGGATACACCGGATCCTACCCATACACTGCTGGATACACTGGATCTTACCCCTACACCGCAGGATACTCCGGCTACTCTGCTGGTGCCTACCCCTACAACACCGCCTACGCTGGATACAAGGGTGCCGGATACACTGGATACCCATACAACTCTGGATACACTGGATACTCTGGCTACACCGGATACAAGGGTGCTGCTGCCTACGGTGCTTACGACGATGGAAAGTACTACCCTGGAAAATACGAGGGTACCTACTAAACCCTTCTCTGACGTTCCTACAACCTGTCACCAACCTGACTGCCAATTGATAAACTATGATCGGACTCAACCTTAAATTCGTAAATATTTTGTACCAAACCAATAAAAATATCAGTATTAAATAAATTTAGTGTCCATTATGTTCCTATAAATGCAATATGTACGTGTTAAAGTTCTAATGATAGCTTGAAAATACTAATAATTTAAGTTAAGTAATGTGTAAATAATATTTTTCTAGAGACAAGACTGTTTTAGAGGTTAACTGGCATTTCCAATAGCAGCTTTTATGTGACAATTTTGTAGTCACTGGTTTCATGCAATCATAAAACTTTGTCTACTTTTAAGAGAGCACTGCCTTTAGTACTTGGGGAAAGTCAAGTTTTAAAATGATTTGATTCTATACAATTTATACACTTATTAGACTATCAATATATTGAGCTATCTAAAGGGTATTAACTCGTTGTTTTTTCTACTCATATAACGATCATGGCGTGTGATCAAGGAAGTGTTTTCCATATTCACTAAAACTGTTTCATAAGATTTAAATGAAGTTGTTTTTTTTTTACAGATGAAAACTATTTCAATATTTTCCATACCCTTGCGAGGATTGTGTTTTGTATTTCACATGGAAGAATTCCTCAAACAATATAACCCGAGGGATCAAGTTATGAGTCCACATTACTCCAAGATGGCGAACTGTAATATCTTCCAAACATAGTATCTTATAACAGTCACGTCCTATATTACCACTGGGCTGGGCTATTGTTTCAAATGTAGGCCATCGGGCTGTGGAAAAATGAAGAATTTATATTAATAATAAACTAAATATAACGCAATGCAATCCTAGGATTTGAATACAGATAGGAAACAAAGTTATTTTGGTTAATAACATAGTTGCTCGAACGTATATCACGTATAGTTTATGCTATCTGGCTTAATTAATTAAAATCTCAATGTTAGCAATTGTGTGCAACTTGACATAAACATGTTTGCAATTTATGTAAGGCGTGAACAGTTACACGATCTGTTTGGTTTAACTTGACACGCCATCATTGACTTCTGGTTTTAAATTGATTTAACTAGACGTCCCGTTCCCATGGTCAAATTGTAGCCGGTCTGAGACTAAAAATATTGATTAAGTCAAACTTAGCCAACGACAATTGTGCTGATGAGCTAAACAAGCAACATCTTTAGCTGAGCCAAATTAAAAAGCACCATTTTGTAATGAACAAGTTTTTGTATCTCATCAAAAATCAAATAATACAAAAACAGAAGGAGAACAATAAATGTTTTGGGCAGCGCAATCTGCGAATGGCTAATTCAAGCGTTCTTTTTTATGGTGACAGTTGTTACATATAGTATCTACTGCTATATTATCTAAAAGTAAATTATACTGGACATTGCAATGCTAATAAGGCAGACGTAATACAGATACGAAATAAATGGCCTAGGCAAGCTAATGTTGACGGCAGAGATAAAATAATACAAGATATCGGTTATAGCCTGTCTGAATCATTAACTTAAGACTGGTGTTCACATATTAATTATTCAAGGGTATGTTTCTTATCGAAACACTAATACCATTTTTAAATTTACTTGAAGTTTTTTATGATGGATTTTGGCAAATATTATTTAAAATATCCAAATATAAATTATGTATGAATTCATGTTCTAACATGTTCTAGCGATTTTATTGGTAAACTAAAGGAGCATACTATGGATACACAATATGACTTATACTTTATATTGTATATTATTTAATAGAACACTTTAAAATAAATCAAACAATTGACTATTAAATCTAAACGGTAGCATAATTACTTTCCTTCAAATAAATGTAATATAATAATTATTTCTGTAAATCAAATAATTAAAAAAACATCTCCTCTTATATTTTTTTGTGTATGAGCGTTTATCGGATTTCATAGGATGTATAAATTCTTAATTTATATTACAAATTAGGTTATTGTAGTCGGAAAAATCGGTAAACACCAAATAAAATATGTAAATACTCAGTTTAATTTGTTTAAGTTAAAAGGTATGAATAATGTTAGATTGAATATGGTGTAAATTAGTCTGAATAGTCCTGATGGAATCACGATTTGCAGCAATTCAGAGGGACTAAATCTCCCGGGTGCAGTCCAGATGAATTTCGGAGGAACGTGATATGGGTCCAACTTAGATTCTGTTTCAGTTTTCCTTATCGTTACTTTTTGACTTTTGAAAAGACATTTAAAACTGATATAAAATACGTTAACCTACAATTACCGCTTCGAAATTAAACCTCGTCGATGTCCGGTAAATCAAGATTTTTATTAGCTATGGGTGGTTACAAAATTATTTTAACCAAAAGGTTTATGAAAATGTACATTAACATATCCGAAATAGGTATTTCTTTAGATAGCATTAAGCTAGACATTATACTTCCCTGAGTCACCACGATATTAAAATTACCAAAGTTTTTAGTGATATAAAAAAATATATATAATAACATAATCTTTAAAAATATAAAGGCAGGCACGTTGAAAAGGATTATATAAATTTTTATCTTTCATCATGGCTGAAGAAAATGTAAGGATTATTTTCCGGATGAAATAATGGATGATTGCTGTATATAAATACAGTAATTTTAAACTTTTACTCTGATCATCTACTTTACATTTGGGGTGTCTATAGGGGAATGCTGGTCTAGGGATTGAAGTGTTTCCCTTTTGATCTGGAGGCTTAGGATCAAATCTCGCCATTCACCAACAAATTACCATTTTGATATTTCGTCCCACGTGGTTTGGTGCCAGCGATCAGGTGAAAATTTGTTAAAAGATTCCCTAAACTGTACCCCTTTGAATGAATCCCTCCCTCTATTGCAGGATAGTTTTTATTGGTCTATAAATTGTGATAGTTACATTGCTTACATTTATTTTTGACACAATACACTTTGGCAAAATTACTTCTTGAAACTAGAGCTTTCACCCCAACTCCAAGTCTGTCTGACCTATACTTTCGTTTGTTTTGTCTATTTTTATACGGGCGTAAACACTTTCAGAGGATAAAGTTTTATTGCCACGTTTATGAGCCTTCAGAGACTCTTTGGAACTGTATTTCTTGAAAAACATGAAAAGTCACTACAGCTATTACTGTTGTTACTTTTATACTTACCCTTTGCTGCAATTTTTTGTGTAATACCAATTTCGTTCCAGATTTGTAGGCAATAAAGTTCTGTGCACTCTGCAAATATGTAGTAGAAACCAGAAAATTAAGTTGGATAAACCACCTGTTTCCCAAACAAAACCTGTCTCAATGAATTTATAGAAACAAAGAATGTTCAGTTTTGATCGATCATACTGTTCAATATATTTCACGGTTGCATATGTGAGTAAGATTTTATTAAAACTCTGGTCATAAAATACAAACTGATAATTGAAGCGTGGAGTTTCTGCGTAACAGTCTTAGTTCAAATCAAACCGATCATGGCTATTTTCTATGTGATCTCGTAGTAGTTTTGGTAATTCAACAGCTAAAACCCATCGATAGCTATGGGTTTTGGTCTACATTAAAAAATATTACCATTCATCTTTACGAGGAGAGCTTTCTTTGAACTGAATAACACCTTTCATCAAGAGCTTACAAGAAGTTTTCTTATTTTTTATTATTATCTTACTAGGGGTTTAAACATTTTATGTTTATTTAAAGTACGCATAAGTTCGACGTTTACTGGTTTGAAACAATAATGAGTAACACTGTAATGAAGAAAATATACACAAACAAAACTATTTAGTACTAAATAATAATAAATACTCCCCACTTTCCAATTATGTTGATTTATACATACAAATGCAATAGTAATAATATATTTCATAATGTGCACTTGGAACGAGACCTGTTAAGGTACAATACTTTTAAATTCATCTCATGGAGTTAATTAGCAAGGTGGTAAGGTGTTTTAGCCACCGCTTAAAACAATAAAGGCCTAAGTTGTAATGTATAACGTGACGAGCCTCACAATATTTATTTAGCAAATGTTCCGGTTTTTAAAAACTGTAGAAACATTTTGAGTTAGATATTTAAATAAGTAAGAATAAACATAAACATAATCGTGCAGTAATTAAAAAAAAATTAAAACTTTTTTTCATACTGCGTCAACAGCCATTTTTAATGCATGCGTTGCGGGTATAAAGTAGTTATTTTACTCTCTAGGAAGTAAAAATCCGTTTTACTCCCTAGCGAGTAAATATCATTTGGTATGTCCCGTACCTAAAACCGAAAACCATTTCAGCCCGTGGTACGAAGGCTATTTTTCACCACACTACTTATAAATTTATAACAAACCCAATTTAGAAGGAATCATTTTATTGGCCGTCAATTACAATAAATTATGTCTACCAATAAATTTACACTAATTAATTAAAATTTTACTCCTTATCCCAATACTGGAGTTTACTTGAGTACTGCTATTACAGTGGTCTGCGTTATTTTAACATGAGAACGGTTAGCCTATTGTTATGTTTTACAAAAACATCTCCAAACTTTCTGGGCCATATCCTAAGAAGTTAATCCAATACACAATGCTCCTTGAAATTAGGTACTATCTTATAGCATATTCATAAATGTGTAACTGTTTTAAAGACGCTCTAAATTCGTAAACAATTTACATACAAAAAGTATATAAACATATAAATAAGAGAACATAGACTATTTCATTTATCATAACCATTTACTCCTTCAACTAATAAATACGACCTTTTACCTATGCCTAGCTATATTTAAAATTATGTTTTTTTAATAAAAACTACGAGGTAATTATTGTAGTCTCTATGGCCACAAAAACTGAACCACATAAAACTAAACTCATGCATGTATCCCTTCTCATTATAAATGCAATTGGTGAAACCGCAGAGCATTTCTTGTTGCATATGCATGACCTGAAGGCGTAACGTTTCTTAAATATCAATTACTCCTACATTATGTGAATAACCCATTAACTTATATCACCAAATTGCATTTTTAAACAGATGTCATTTGAAAAAAAAACTGTTACCCCTTTTTAAACCGTGTTTTTTATTAGTGAAACAGGTCTACGGGGAAAATTCATTAACATATGTGGAATACTCACGACGGCCGTGCATTCT